ACTCATCACTCAGGAGATTCCAAGGGTTTTAGGAGCTCTGTGCCAGGAACCAGGGACAAAGACTAAATATTTTTTGATTATACTACAGGCTACTCTCTGGTCTTTGACCACAGATCCCTTATAGCAAAAGGAGCATAACGCTTAGAAGATGCTGGCAAATTTCTGGTTCCCATTCAGTCATGAACAATTAGTCCAGTCCCTCATCCTCTTGTATGAGAATGTCTCCCAGGGTGAGGTCACTCAGGTTTGCAGGCTTCCATTTGATCTTGTCAGGTTCCAGAAGCAGAAATAGTCTCAGCAATATATGGCTACACCTTTTCAGGCATCTGGATAATTGGGCTAAGAGACAATGTCATCTGTTGCTCAGGCCTCTTTTGAGGTGTTAATGTAATACTGTGTTTCTCTCATTACAGAACACATTTATTCATTGCTTTACCTCAGCTGCTATTTTTCCTTCTCTCCGTTTATACCTAACCTTTCCACCTTTGGAAGGGACATTAGGTTTGGCTGCGGTGCTGGGCTAGACGCAGGCAGCAATAATAGTGTAGCAGTCCCTCCTCCTCAGTGCGCTCCCATTCATAGAGGAGTCACATAGGTACAGAGCCAGTGGGCTAACTGACCACCAGGCAATATAGCTGCATTCACTGTCAGCCCTGATTTTGCCAGATGGGGTGAAGGCACTCTCTGCCCCTTCAGGCCCTTAGGAATTCTGACACAGGGGTTTAAAAATATAGTTACAGTTTCTTGCTTAGGAATCATTCCTGTTTTTGGCACTTGTGAGCATCCCTGACCTGAGACTGATGAGGATTTTTAGGCTGCTTAATTTTAAAACTATAGATGAGAAGCAGGCTCAGGCGAGTGGAATTTGCTTGCCCCTTTGTTGGGAAACATTTACATTTCTAAGGGAAACCTCTATCTGTAAAGATGCCTCCCTCTCTGTGCCAGGAAGAAGGAGGATGGCCTTATCTCTAGAAACTCTTAATGCCAGAGGGAAGAATTTAAGTTGTTTATTGTCTGGCAACCTCATGTAACTGACCGCCC